TTAGCATTTAGCTCAAAGCACTATTGTGCCCGGCTGTAGAGTTGAAAAAAGAAGTAAAATAGTAGTATGTACTCACAAGGCTCACAATATAAAATGAAATGTGACCCTTATAAGCAGACCTGGTGTGGTTGATGCTGCGTGGTTTGAGTCTTAACAAAGAAATAATTCAACATGTGCTTTAAAAAAGAAGCATAGGGAAGTCTTTTCTTGACTTCTGAGAATTGTCACAGCAAAATGAGACACTAAATCTAATAATCTGACAGAATAATAGTTTTTTTTTACCATAATTAGGGACCTTTAAGAGCAGCATTTCCCAACCTTTCTAGCTTGTGAGGTTATGGCCTCGGTGGGGATTTGTGAGCCCAAAACAGTGAATTTTACCTCTCAGATTGATTCATTTAGATGATTTTTTAAATGCCCGATGCAGTGATAGCATTTCACAAGAAAGACTCAATTTAAAGATTTGAGAATATGAATACTAAAATAATAAAATGAACATCATTTTAATAATTATCTTGTGACCCTTCAGATTTGGCTCCTGGATGTCACTTGTGGTTTTGAAATATTCACAACAACATATTGGTAGTACTTCTATTTAAGCAGATTAATTAAGACATCTTATACACATATTGTTATATAAACATTGTAAAGTAATACTGACATCTAGGGTTAGATAACACTGTTGTTTCTGGTGATGTTACAGCTAGAGGATGCTGTTCAGTGTGTGTCGTAATGAAGAAAATGGCTACAGGAATATGTCTGTTCACTTACTCTCTTGAGAGGAGGCGTTCAGATGCTCCAGCAGATCACATCCAAACACCTTCTCTTTGTTTCCTACTTTTCTCCGATGTCTCCGCATCTCTTCCTGTTGGCTGTTTTTTCAGCTTACATTCAGACCGGCCCAAGTTGCTTGTGTTTTTGACCGTCAGAAGAACTGACTGTCTATCTGGCTGCTGGATGTGTTGACCAACTCGGTTAATGTGACACTGACTTTGACGAGGTGCTGCACATTTCAGAGATTTCACTGTGCTGCTGCTGCCGCTGCTGTTTCTGTTTCCTTTGTTTCAGTGCATGTTGTTGAGTGCAGGTTGTTTCCTCTGTAAGTTACGTTGCATTGGAGTTGATGTGTACAAGCTGGAGTGTTAGAACATACTTTGGTTGATCTTCCGTCCTGCAAAAAGCAGAAATAACAAAACGTTTCTTTGTGCACGCACCAGGTTCACGTTGTAAGCAACAATCAAATCAAATAACAAATTGAATCCTCTGAGTGCATATGTGGCTCTCCACTTCCCCCTGATATGCTGATTTTTTTCGAATGAAAGGCCACACCCTTGCCTCTGTTACTTCTCCTATTCAATGAAGTGAGCCACTGAATGTTTCACTCCAATCACACCATAATATCGCTCTGGGCTCGTGGACCCACTTAAACGTCCAATCTCAAGCTCCAGCCATGAGGACAGTGTTCACTACAGGCCGGTTCTGTCCTCGCTGCCCGCATGTCATGACAATTGCGGCCCCCTTTTTCACTGCAGCGGAAGTCGAACACTGTTAGAGCCTGAACATATAGACTCACAGAGACATTCAAACTCACTCTACACCCCTCCATCTCCCTCACACCTGCCACCGCTCTCTTCCTGTCCATCATCCCTACCTGTCTGTCCACTTTTGGGAAAGAGTTTCAATGTCGGAACGTGAGCAAATAAACAAGTTATAAAAGCAAATACGAGTGTTCCTACCTTCACTCTGCATCGGCACACAAGTAGCAGCATAAAATGATGACGCAAGAAACCACTAGACTTCCCCTGTTAACTTCCTGAGTGTCTCTCCTTCTCTTGTGTTTTCTCTCTGTATATGGCGCATATATTCTCCGCCTCTGCTGATTGAGTAGGGAAATCAGTTCAGTGTATCTATACAGTGCATCTATTTCCCTTTATGTGCCATGTTCATCTGTGCGTAGACCGAGCTCCATTTGTGCTTCTCACCCTGAAAGCAAAAGATGGACATTAAATATACATAAAGGACAAATTTAACTCATTTTAGCCTATTTCCTTTGACTGTGTCAGTTGTACATCAGAGCTACCTACCTTTACTACAGGGCCTCATTGAATACTGTTGAAGTACCACAAAATACAACAAAGTACTGGCACAATCACCACATTATGTATCACAAATTACTGCTAGAACATGCTAGCCCCATAAGTTACTTTAAACGATCGCCAAGACCCAGAAAATCACACCACAACAGAAACTAAAACTACCACATTTTTACCACAGACTACCAAGCAGCAACAGTTAAAAATCACTCAACTTTACTGCAAACAACCACAGAGCAAATCCCAAAGTAACACAAAATACCAAATGAGTGCATAGGACTGCAGAAAAGTGCCACGAGACAAAGTACTAGAAATTACTTAGTATGGCAAAAAAAAGGCCCAAAAATTACTACAGAATATCAAAATAAGTAGTAAAATGGCTCTTTATGTACCACAGTGATCCCTGGCAGTGTTATACTATTACATCTGTTTTATTTATTTTTTTCAAAGTAACCAAAACACCAGCTGTCACCACCAGATCAATGTAGTAGAGTAGAAGTAGCATGAAATGGAAATAAAGTACAAGTACCTCACAATTGTGCTTAAGCGCAGTACTTGAGTAAATGTACCTAGTTATATTCCACCATCTTTCTAAGTCTTGGCACTGTTGTGATTTCGATATATGGATATTACTTACATTGGTGCACCATATTGTGCAAAGCTGTACACATATTATGACATATAAAACACTGTGGTAGTTTGTGGTAGTTTGTGGTACTTCTCGCCTGGGCCTCAGAAACCCCCTCAAACAGTGTTTATAAGTTGTCACAAATGGCTTTATTAATGGTTATTATTTATTGTATAAAAAGTTCCCTTGGCTGGTTTTTATTCTTTCTAATGCAAATGTAATGTTGGTAATCCTTTAATTAATGTTTGAGGATTCGCCAACAAGTCTAGACTAAGAAAGTAGGTTGTTAATTAACTGATATTTGGTCAGAATAGTCCAGAAGTTAAGTGTGTGTATTTTCACAATCGATCTTAATAATGTCTCATAACTGCTACTGCTTTACATCATTAGTAAATAAGTTATTAACCATTAATTGCAACATCCAAACTCCTTATAAAGGATGAGTTACTAGAAAGTAGTACCACTGAATGTTTGTTTCTCTCTCACACACAAACATATATTTAAATACTGTCATTATAGTTCATAACCTTGGTGAAATCTACATCTATAAGCTTATTAATAACATATTTATAGTGTTTGGCCTCTATATATCGACCTTTCTTAATGGCAGGAGTTATTTTTAGTGCTTATAAACTATTTTTAGGTCGTTAAAGGGTTTAAAATGTCAATAACTTATTATATTAGCAACTTTATAATTTGTTAAATACCTTTAGTCATATAGATTTACCGTGTAAAGAGTCTGACATCCGCCACCAGGCTCACAATGCGGTATTAATCCAATACTTACGGTAAATCACCTGTGGCTACAAGTGACGCTGCTGCTGCTGACCTCGCTTTGAACTCTCGTACGTCCCGCAGGGGCGGAAACAACACTAAAGCAACCTCAAAAACACATTAAAACTCCCCAACTTGTATTAATCTCACATGGCAGGTAGAATATGTTTAAGTACGTTACTTAAAAAAAGGGAGAATTTACATGATATGGCCAAAACAAAGCGGGACTGACACCGCCCTTACGGTTGGTAAGGATAAAAAAACGAGCGACCCTCCCCCCACTTCACCATCCGCGGAAGAGACTTCACTACAATCATCTCCCCACCAAACAACGATGCAATACACAATATTGTGACTATATTAAATCCTGCAAAGTGGGCGACACACAGGCACACACAGTGTAACAGGTTAAACATCATTTATTTGTTTTTGGTGTTTGAAATAAAAGAAGCTGAAGGTCGCTTGAACCCGATGGAGGACTGCAGCTTCCACAGCCAGCTCCTGTCCGTCATGGAGGTCCTGGCCAAGGCGGCCGTGGCGGAGATAAACCGGCGTGTGGATGACAGCTGCGCGGTGCTCCGGCTGGAGGTGAGCCAGAGCCGGCGGGACATCGACCTGCTGCAGAGGAAGTGTGAGGTGATGGAGGCAGAGCTGAGGAGGACCAGGATGAGAGCCCGGAGGAAAGGTGAGGGTCACAATGTCAATGTTGTTGTTGTTGTTGTTGTTTTCCTGCTTTTTAAAACACGTGTGTGTGTTTTTATTCTTCCTTCCTCAGTGTTTTATCCTCCAGCAGCCGAGAGGTTTTCTCCTTTAGTCAAAGTAGTGTTGAATAAAGAGAGACAGAGCGCAGACTGGGACAGACAGATGGATGCTGAGGCTCAAAACCAACCCCAGCAGGTATATAAATAATATTATTAAAAAATACTTCTTATCACAGTTTTCCCAGAGGACAGTGTTATGTCTTTATGTGTGTGTGGCAACACGTTTCCTGGAAAGGACAATAAAGAATCTGCCTTGTAATGTCTGAGCAACAGTTATAAACCCAAATATATTCAGTGTACGAGGAGAAAAAAGGCCACAAATGTAAAATGTTCAAACTGTTCTCCTGGTAAATGACTTAAACTTAACATTAATTGATCATAAGTGGAGATTTTATTCATTTATTAACTTATTAGAGCATTTTCTTGTGTGTTTTTTTTTTATCAAAGTGTCTATTTATGAGTTAAAGTTAGATATAAATACATAAATATTAAACATAATAATTGTATTTTACATTATTAGGACTCATTAAATGCTGTTTTTTTTCCGTTTACTTGTACAACTTGTGTGTGTGTGTG